CCCCCCCCCCCCCCCCGACCCCGACCTCTCGGGTTCATGCTCATGAAACGTAGCCTGGGCTAGCGAAAACCCGCAATATCACTCAGTCCCGGCATTGTCGGGATGCGAGGCCAATGGTCTACCGACGACGGCATGCTGGTACATGAGTTCACCCCCCTCTCTCCTCCGGGGCTTGGGTCTATCTATCTCCCCTTCAGCGCGTTTGGGCAACCGACATGAACGAACGCGATGTGCTACATCTCAGACAACAGCAGTAGCACCGGATATTTTCATCCTCGCCTGCATGAAGAAGACCATCGCAGCTCCCAGCAGGACCCATGCGGTATCGACGGCCAGGGCCACGTCCGTTGCGGAAATCCTGCGAACGAAATAGCGGAAGAGAGGTGCATCATCTTAGTGTTCAGAGAGAGAAGAGAGGGAGGGGGAGAGAGGGAGGGGGAGAGAGGGAGACAGAGAGAGACAGACAGACAGAGAGACAGAGAGAGAGAGAGACAGAGAGAAACGGGAAAGTACGAGGCAGGCTAAGGAGGCGGGGCGGACATACTTGTTCTCCTGAGCACAAGTTACGGTCGCCTTGACCCTAAACTGCACCCAAAACGTGTGCTGGTAGACCATCTCATCGTCAGGACAAGAAGATTACAATCTTCTAAAAGTTGAGGGCAGGATTTGTCCTCTTCGATTAATCGATAACAGCACGGGGGTAGCCCCGGCCTCAACTGAAGCCATTTTCTCTCTCTTTTTTCCAGTGGCGGAAGTTGTACTGCTTGAAAACGGAAGCGGCGGTGGGAAAAATGAGGATATGCCAATTCCCGAGGTTTTGTCGGAGCTTCGAGATCGGGGTACGGTACAGACCCGATTGTGTGCGGAAAAGGTCAGAGGTAGAAGACCTGTCGTGTCTGGGATGACGGCGCGTGCACTGCGTGATGAATCTAGCGGGTTCTTGTCGAGAGTGTGTTGCACATAGGAGTGACTCAAGTTCCTTGTTTCAGAGACTCACGTTTATTGTATTAGAGAGTGACAGACAGACATGAGCAAGAGGCAAAGCATGGCGGACCGAAGTCTGTCTACATGTCATACCCGTAGTCTATTTATGTTTTCTAACTTTTCCCAATTTAGGGTTACCTCGCATAGCGTGTAGAGGCGAGCGGAGTGGCCTATATTATCTGTCGTTGACTATTTTTGGCTTGCGGACCCTTCGGGTCCATTTCATTCTCGAATACCTTTTTTGGGTGGTAAGTTAGCCTGTGACCACGGGAATCGACCCCGTCAAGTGTTAAGACTAGTGGTAGGACAGAAGAAGGTACTGGGCAGAGAGGACGGAACGGTTTTCAATGTGAAGACTACAACAACAACAACAACAACAACAAACAACAACAGCAACATACTTGACATCTGAATCTGCGTAAGCCCTTCAAGGGTGAGTAAGATCTGTACCCCGCCGAGTACAGACACAAGGAGACCGGGGGCAGTCCCGATGGGGTAGTCGCCAGTGTGGGAAGGAAGATGTTAGTGGAATATCGTTTTCGAACGTACCGACATAAGTCCACAGAGCGATGTGATCTAAATAGAAACAAACGGCTAACTGACCGCACCACCGACGAGAGGTATTTTTTCTTCACACACACACAGCCGCACACGAGACAGACAGAGGGCAGTCAACTGGACACCGAAGGAGAGGGTGGGCTGCAGATCCTCGGCTTTCTTTTGGTTTCTCCGTCCCTCTCTACATACGATCTTCCTGCGTTCTTGCATGAACCACGGATGGATACGTCAGACTGGTTACACCGGTATGCCATCTGTTAGCAACCATGGTAACTAGCCCCATACATGTATATGCTCTCCCCGGCCTGCCCCCCCCGTCCCTGGGGTAGGCCGAGGCTGCGCAAGTGGATCTACACCTCGAAAGAACACTCAGCGAAGACGGATATACGGTCCCTAGCACTGTTGAGAGGGGGATCCTGAGTTTGGCGGTTGGGAGTTACTGGTGTCGTGAGATCGGGGTAGCTCGTGAGCCGCCAGCTTTGGTAGCTGCAAAATGCGACTGGATCCTGACGCCCCGGCTTGGGCACCGGGGCTATGCAGCAGCAGAGAGCACGGTGAGGGTGGCGGAGTGACCGTACGCCGTGGGGGTATGCCCCAGAGAGTGGAAAGGAGGGAGTCCAGCGATGGAGGGCCACACCGCTCCGGGACAAGAAGACAACTCTACGGGAAACAAGGCAAGAACCGGGGTTACTATCACGTCAGCCCTAGTGTTAGCAAGAAAATAGCAAAAAAACAAAAAAAGAGGGAAAGATGGAGGGAAAGGAGGGGTCGGGCGGCGCGTAGGCTAGCTAAGAGAGCAGCGGGCGCCGCGCGAAAGGCACAGCAGGGTCAACTTCTTAGGGTAGCAACCTGGAATGTGCGGACTTTGGCTGTAAACGGGGCCAATGGATACGGGCGAGCCTACAGCGTTCTACACGAGGCAGCGAGACAAGACGTATCGGTGGTAGGAATGCAGGAGACACGGAGGGCAGGTCGAACGGAATTTGCAGCAGCGGGTTTTCGGGTGTTCTGTGGCACGGAGACTGGTTGAGTTCATGGTGTGGGGATAGCCGTCAAAGAGTCACTGTGCAAGACACCCACGTTCACTACGGAGTTTATCGACGAACGCCTTATGGCCATGAGGTTTCTGTTGGCAGGCCACCGTGGAGCGGNACAACACATTTGAAACGGATTGATCCTTTGGCGCGTTCATATGGCACCAGGGTACCGTATGAGCCCGGACGATCATGTCCGTGATATGCCCCTCTGGTGCGGGGAGAGCTTTCAGCACCGGCGGGGGACGTGAGTATCTACAGGGCCTCCGACCGCGGCTAGAGATCACCAAATCTAGAATACCCGACCGAGGAAGACCATACCTGTCGAACAGGCAACCTTGTTGGGCACTTAAAATCCCATATGCATGGATGCAACATTTGAGGTATTGCTTCATGAAAAACTTCAACAGAGCGTTGTTTGCCGCTTGCGCTGGGGGCATTCGTGGCTCCGCGCGACTACTGTACACGGCGGGGTGGGTGATTTTGAAGCGCGGGTATTTCCCGCCGAAGAATCAGAAATACTCTATATATGTAGCAAAAAGAGAATTGTTCTGACTACTGAATATTATGCAAACTTGCTGCTGTAGCTGCGTAGCTGCAACCCAAAAGCAAGCAGCAACACCCCTCCTTGCATGCAGCTACAAGCTGGGCCAGCCAAGAAGTCAACAAAATGGTTGGAAGCGATTTCCGAGCCGGTTTTTACGAATTAGAACCTGAAATTTTGATGTGATTGGAAACAGTGTTGCAAACGCCCCCGAGTCAGGTGCCGTTTTTTTTTTTTTGGTGAGGTATCCCTATATTCAATAACTGAGAATCTTAACATAGGGGTTTTTGTGGCTAAAAAAAAAAAAGCGGCACCTGACTCGGGGGCATTCGTAAGACCACTCCCAATCACATATCAAAATTTCAGCTTCTAGTTCGTGAAAACCGGCTCGGAAATAGCAAATTGCGTAATGACCTCGATACCT